ATTTAATTCATTTAATTAAAAATAAATGGCAAGTGCATCGTTAGATCTCAATGTTGCATTTGAAAAGCATAAAAAAAGATTTTTATAAAGTAAAATTTACTAAAATCAAAAAAATGAAAGGTTTTGTGAAAACAATCATAAACTTGTGCACTTGAACAACATTTTTTACTTAATGCAAGTTGTTGTATAACTACTCAGAGTCAAATAACTTTATTTACAAAACTGAGCCAAATTAATCAACTTTAATTCTAATAGTCAACAAGTGTAAAAAAATCAAGATGTTCTTATTAAGTTCATGAAACAGTCTATTTGCTTAAACACTATTACTTGGCCACATAAAGAAGATATTTGCTGGGTTCCAATAATGCAAGTTTTAAGCAAAATTTCATCTTTAAAAATTTAATTAACAACTGGTAAATGGCATAAACTATCAGCTCAAGAAAAAACTGAATTATTACATTTGTACAACACAGGGCTGTGGAGTCGGAGTCACAAAGTTGCAACATTTCTAGACAAATCGGAGTTGCTAAACAAAATTGCAACACCAACTCCGCTAAAAAACTCAGACTAGTAAAACTTCTCGGTATTGCACGTGCATGTACAAAAAATTCGATTAACCTTATATTCATACTAACCTTATATTCATACTAGGGTTTCTCATTTCCCGTAAATTTAGCATCCCGGGATTCCCGGTGTGTAACTTATTTATCCCGGGATTTCCCGGGATTTCCCGGCATAATTTTTAATATAATAACAAGCGGTTTCTGACACAAATTTATCTTAGCACGCTAATCTATATTACTATTTAAAATGAAATATTGTTTTAAAAAACATAAACAATCAATTGATTTGTCACTTAATCGTGAACGAATTTTTCCCATAAATAGACCCGCGGCAGAAAAAGCCCTTTCTGATTCAATTGATGTCGGCTTGATGGTCATTAATGTTGAGTATATTCTTTCTAAACTTTCGCTACGCTTTCCAGTTGCCTCAAAAAGTTTGATTTCTTTTGTGAGGTTTTTTAAATTGCTAATGTTTTCTAGAGCTGCTTTTTCTACTTGTTTGACATTACAAATAGTCGCATCCAATTTTTGTTCAAGCGTCAAAATACTTTTGCCTAATAAATATGGAGCAACAGGTTGAGGTATTGACGGGTCAGAAACCATGCTTTCATTATCACGACTCACTTCAACTATTTCATTATTTGATGAACTAAGGCTAGCATCCTCTATGTACAACCTGGTATAAATTTTTTTTGCTGTTGCTTTTAATGCATGTTTGGGCGGTAAGAGTAGTTTGGAGTTGATATTTGATTCCTGATTATAACTAATTGGGTTGTTTAAAAATTTTAGTAATCCAATTAAATTGGCATTTCTGCGTTCTTCAATTCTCTGCTGCACAGATTGAAGCAGTTTATTAGCTATAAAATTTTTTTTCTCCGTCAAATCGTCTAAGATGAATATCATTACACCTTCTGCGTCAAGTAGAGTAGCATTACTTCTACCAAGTCTTTCTATTCCAACTTTTATTGGTTGCAGAGAAAATGTTATGTCGTTCATAATCGCATATTCATCTTCGGAGATATTCAGAACTTCTTTTAAATCGATCATTGCTTTTAGTATACATGTTTTTACTTTAAGGAATCTTTCTAGCATTGCAACAAGACTATTCCACCTCGTTTTGACATCTAATATCAGCTTAAGCTCTTTATTAAACATAGATTTTACGTACATTTGTAAAACTTCATTTTTAAGAGGTGATTTACGGAACATTCGAACCACTTTTCGAACCTTCTGAATTGTTAAGGCTATATTTACGCTATTTTGTAAATCATCAATAAACGTAACGCCTGTTGAGCTGTGTGACTCATCATTACAGTCAAATACATCATCAAACTCGTCGTAATCACTCAAATTTTCATCGGAATCTTGAAACTGCGATTCAAATTCAATATATTTTGCTGAAGAGTCTGACTTTTTGTAAAGAACATCACATACTGCCAAATGAAGTCCGTGGGCATAACACAGCTGATGTTCAATACCACTTAGCCGTCCAAATTTTTTCATTACGGATGCTCCGTCAGTGACACTAGCTATGATGTGCTTTTTAATTGATAAACTGAAATCTGACAGTTTATTTTCAACTAGATCAACAATTTTTTCTGCAGGAAGTGATCCAGCTATCGGAGTCATTCCCAGGTTCCAAAACTTTGTTGATAAGTGTAAATTTACATTTAAATAACGTCGATTTTTTAAAGACGTATATTCGTCTAACGATAAAGAAAATCGCGACCCGCTAGAAATTTCTTTTGTTATCTCTAAAACCACAGTTTGTCTAGCTAATTCATATTGTTTTTTTATCATACCCATAACATGGGATGGATTTTTTGGTAATAACATGCCTTTTTCAGACAATGATTTTCTAATGAATTCACTTTTTGTTATGGCATTTATTGAGAAGCCATCCACCGTTGCTAGCTTTGACACAATTTCCTCGATAGTCTGCTGTTTAACAAACAATGTTATTTTCTTTTGAACAATTTTATTTTCCGAACCAGTATCTTCAAGTAGACGCTTCATATTTAGATCCAAATCTTTATGTGTGTTTTTTAAATGACGTAGGAGCCCACTGGTCGAAAATCCTTTGCACATTATCTTTACATTGCACTTTTTGCAAATTGCAGATTCGCCAGATTTTTCTTTACAAAAATACTGCCATGCTTTGGATCCATTTACAATTGACATAGTATAACTAAATTGAATCGCAGAACAACTAAAAGTAAAGTTACAAATATTTCTTACATATGTATGTTATCTTACGTATGACTTTTATGTGTTTGTTTGCCGTTTTTTAAATACAAAAATTATTAAATACTTCAATAATTTGATACAGAAAAAGTTTAACTTTTCAATAATTTAGAAGTTTAAAAATTAAACTTACTGTTTTCGTCGCAAGAAATCTTTTTTATTTTTTACTCATATTTTATAATAATGAGAAAAAAGAAAACATTGCATTGCAATGCATTTCTTTTTAGTTTAAGATAGTTTCAATAGCATTTCTTGTTGTGCTAGGTTTTAATATAAGGTATGAACACATAAAACACAACTAAATGCAATAATATTTTTCTTATTTTTGGTCGAATTAGTTCAAAGTTATCATATGTAAAATTATTTTAAAAAAAATTATATTCCGGGATATAAGAGTGATATCCCGGGAAATCCCGCTGCCACTTTTATCCCCGGGATCCCGGGAAAACGGGATCCCGGGATCCCGTTTGAGAAACCCTAATTCATACTAAAGAAAGTTTCATAAATTTGTCAAAAAAAAGAAAATTTTAACTTATCGGATAATATTTTTTAAAGAATTCAGAGAATTTTTTGAAGATTTTGCTTTGGAGTTGGAGTCGGATTCGTACTCAAAAAATTTCAACAACTAGAGCCGGTGTCGGAGTTGATACTTTTTTTTTACGACTCCACACCCCTGGTACAACAGCATAAGTAATATAATTAAATATAACAATGTATCTAACAACAAAGCAAAATTATGAAAATTTGATTTATTTGTTTTAAACATAGTTTTTTAACAAAGCAATAAAAAAAGCAAATGTTTTATTCATTTTTTGAAAAAAGTTACCCCAGAAATTCGATTACACACTAAGTGACATAAATAATTGAAAATATTTTTTTCCATAAGCATATTAACCAGTTTTTCTATTTTTTGTTAATCTGTCCATAAAAATTCTTACTTTCATTTATATTATTATAAGACTATATATATCACAATTTAATCACAATTTAATATAAAAATTTAATATAAAAAGAAATTTAATATCACAATTTAATATAAAAAGAAAATCATCATAAAACAAATTCAGAAATAAACAAAATATTTTTCTAAAACTAAATTACAAACATGGAATTGAATATAAAGTTAGATGAACTAAAAAAATTAAAAATTATTATTATTAAATCAATAGAATTAAACAAATCTTCAACACATATACATACATACATACATACATACATACATACATACATACATACATACATACATACATACATACATACATACATACATACATACATACATACATACATACATACATACATACATACATATATACATACATATATACAAACACACATACATACATACATACATACATACATACATACATACATACATACATACATACATACATACATACATACATACATACATACATACATACATACATAAATACATACATACATACATACATACATACATACATACATACATACATACATACATACATACATACATACATACATACATACATACATACATACATAAAAACATACATACATACAAACACACATACATACATACATACATACATACATACATACATACATACATACATACATACATACATACATACATACATACATACATACATACATACATACATACATACATACATACATACACACATACATACATGCATACATATATACATACATACATACATACATACATACATACATACATACATACATACATACATACATACATACATACATACATACATACATACATACATACATACATACATACATACTTACATACATACATACATACATACATACATACATACATACAAACATACATACAAACACACATACAGACATACATACATACATACATACATACATACATACATACATACATACATACATACATACATACATACATACATACATACATACATACATACATACATACATACATACATACATACATACATACATACATACATATATACATACAAAAATTATTAAAATGCTTCAATAAAAGTAATTTCTTTAAATTTTTTGTTGGTTTCTAATTGCAGTTAACCTGCTGTAAACAATAAACAAAAAAATCTTTAACATACTTTCTCTGGGACAGACATAAACAAAAAAATCTTCAACATACCTTCTCTGGGACAGATATAAACAAAAAAATCTTCAACATACCTTCTCTGGGACAGATATAGAAATTTCTGCTTGCTTTGTTTTAATGTTTACATCATACTTATTGAAAATAATTTTAAAATTCGATTTGAATAGATATCTATTGAGAAGTCGAAATGCATTAGGTGCTAATGTAGCTAAAATTTTCATTCCATCATCAAAAATATTTGTTGGGAATGCAAAGTTTAACTTTTTACTAGTGATTTTAATTTGAAATAGTATTTCTTTCAGTGCGTTAATACTAGAACCAATATTGTTAAGAAATTTTTTTGCTGGATAACTAAAACTAATAAGAGTACCTTTAGAAAGACTATCGAGTTTGTTTGTATTAACAGCTGACTTTTTATTTAAAGGTGAGTCTCTCAAATTTGCTAAATTTTTGGTGGCAAATTCAACAGTAATGTCTAACCGAAGATTTTTTAATATATTTATTTCATTCAATTGTTTCTTTGTAATTAATGAAATAATATTTAAAGGATTAACATTTTTTAAAAAAGCAACAATGCCTACACCAATAGGATTATCATTAGGCTTCTGAATAAACAATAATGCATTAATGCTACTGTGACCTGATATCTTCATTTCACCATCTGCAATTAGTTTATAACTTCGATCTTCATATCTAATAATTTTAATTTTCACATTAAAAATGTTAGAAAACATCCCTCCCTGGCTGAAAAGAGCCTCTCTACTTAGATCATTATTATTTTCTAAAAAAGCCTCTGAAAAGTCAATAACATTAATTTGATTTGCTGTTAAACTTAGAGACGATGAAGACACTCCTTGAACTTTATTGACTTGAACCTCTACAGTTAGCTTGTTGGCAATATTAATTTTTCCATCTATTTTAAACCCAATATGACTAAATCTAAAAGGTCTTTTCAAGTCAAATGTTATTTCTAGTTTTCCACCTTCAACAATCTAATAAAATAAAAAAAAAATTCATTATTAAATAATTTTTTTAAATATTTATTCTGAAGATTTATTTTAATATTTATTTTCAGCAAAAATCAAAAGTTAAAACTTTTTATTTTTTTCTTTAAAAATTTTTTTTAAAAGGTAAAAAAAAGTTACAAAATAAAAAGGATTTTATTCATAAAACCACCTCTGGTAAGAACCAGTGCACAACTTAAGATTTGACAATACAATCACAGAATGGAAAAAATTATTAATTGTTTCTATTTTACATTTTACAGAATGGAAAATGTAAGGGACTTGAGATTAGACAATACAATCACAGATAGAATCTGACACAATCAACAACAATACAGAGTTAATTACAACTAGCTCATTATACAATTTATTCATGAAATCGAATGAAAATAAAATTTAGGAAAAAAAATTAAAAAAAAATACTGTTAGTACTAAATGTAATATAAAAAGCAACAAAAAATTAACTGTTCTTTAAAAAAAAAAAATAATAATAACAACTCTAAAACCTGTAATAGTTAATTCAAAAAATATGATAGTAGTTTTTAAAAAAGTTATTAAAAAAATTAAGTAAGAACTTTACCTGAATTTTATCATTGATAACATGAAAAGATTCAACAACCTCACAAAAAAATATAACATTTTTATTTCGACTGTTACATGAATTTATTTCAAATCTTTTGACTTCAAAAACTCCTGAAGGAAAGTTCCTGTTTGTCAAAGAATCCAAGTCAACTTGATTTGAAAGTAACTTAAATACTTTAGCCAAATTAAATCCAGGACATTTTAGTTTTGGTTTGAATATTCTAACACAATTTTTCTCTACCGACTCTATTCTACATCCCAATACATCAAAAAAGTTAGGAAGGTCAACAAAAGTGCTTAAAGTTTCAAATGAAAATTTTTCTAAAATAATATAAATAGTAGTACATTAAAACACATTAACACTAAATATGAATAATATATAAATATATATCTATATATACATATATATATACATATATATATATATATATATATATATATATATATATATATATATATATATATATATATATATATATATATATATATATATATATATATAGATATAGATATAGATATAGATATATATTTATATATATATATATGTATATATGTGTGTGTGTGTGTGTGTGTGTGTTTATATATATATATATATATATATATATATATATATATATATATATATATATATATATATATATATATATATATATATATATATATATATATATATAAAATATATATATATATATATATATATATATATATATATATATATATATATATATATATATATGTCAGGGGTGGATCCATCATTTTTTAGTGTTTGGGTTACCTAGCCAGGGTTCTACGAATTTTCCTTTACAAGACTTTACAGACTTCTACGAGTTTTCCTTTACAACAACATGTATATATCTGAAGTACCAAAAAAAATTTGGTCTTTTTTTTTTCTTTTTTTCTTTTTTTAAAATACTGGTATTTTTTATGATAAGAAACACTATTAATTTACTCTATACTTAGATCAAGGACGTATTAATAGATGGACGTTTAACGTATTGTTTAAAAGCCAAGATATCCGCGCTATTTATTGTTACAAATAACAATGGCAAAACAATAGAGAACTATTTTTAACTTGAGAATATTTTTACTTGATTTTACGTCAAATTAACGATAGTCTCGTCTAGCCTTAGAAATATTTAAACATTCCATTACACCTAAAAACTCTAAAAAGTTTTTAAATAAATAAAACCTTTTCAATATATGATTTATAAACTCAAGCAAAATCTTTACATGGAAAAAAAAAGTTAATCACAGAAAAATATTAAAACAAAATTGTAAGTGAGACAAAATTTCCGACAAAAATGAGAAATTTAAATACTTAAAATAATAGTGAAAACTAAGTGTAGGGAATAGAGACCTCAAGTAATCTATAGTTCAATTTATATATGATCTACAGTTTTACCTACATCATCTAGAAAATTCGTTTCACTTTGCAGTATTCATTCTTGCAAACTACATATCACTTTTTTACAAAAGTATGATTTTAGACGTCTAAGTTTTAATTATAATAAATTCTTAATAAAAAGCGCTCACGTATCAAATTTGACATTTTAAAACAGATGAGCTATTTCTCTATAACTATTATGCATTAATTTTTTTTAAAAGTTAGAGTTTTGTAGGTAATTGTACATTTTAAAAAAAGTAGTTAGAAAAGCGAAATTATCGGAAAAACGTCGGTTTACTTTTATAAATTATTCAGAAAAATGACGCTAAAAATTATAGCTAGCATAGGTTTTTGTTTACTTGCGGCGCCTCAGATCTATAACAATGGGTTAAACGCCCATCTATTAATACGTCCTTGCTTAAACGTATTATGCAAATAACTTTTTAACAAAAAACGATATTTAATTTTGATTTAAAAATGCGGGAAATAAATATGGATAACTTTTAAGATATACTTACTCTATATACTTATCAAAATAATAAATAACTTTAATAAGTATATGGTTAATATTATAAAAGCTAAATCGGGTGGAAATATAGCTGAGTTTAAATGTTCAACCTCTACAGCATTACGCGATGCAGATAAGGTCATTCATATTGAATTAAAAAGGATAAAGGATGATTTCAGATGTTTTAGAAAAATCAATGAGAACATTTTAGTTCAACTCCATTGTGATGGAAAAGTATGTCATGAATATACTGATGGGAAAAAATTGGAAAAAGATCGATTAGCTATATTAATAAACGGTAACAAGGAAACGCACCTAATGGGATTTCAACCAATTTCTTATGGAACTGGCGTAAATCAAAAAATGCAGTCAGAGATATCTTAAATAGCTTTAATCTTACTGACAATATATAAACTTTTACATTTGATACCATCAGAATCATCACTGGAAAAAAATATGGAACTGTATCTTTACTGGTAAATGAAGTCTTTCAACGACTAGTTCTATCTATTGCATGCGACATCATTTCAATAAGCTACACATAACACATTTCTGGAAAAATTATCAAATAAGTATTACTTCTGGACCAGATAATCTACTGTTTAAAACTTTAAAATTAGTATGGAATGATCTTGACGCAGACAACCAGATAGGTTTTTACAAAATTAGATACCATTTTTTGAAATATTATTGTTTGCAAATAATTTTCTTTTTCCAATTTTGAGTTCTTTGATTTTTTTTTTTTTTTTTATTTGATTAAATAAGGTTTTGAGAAGGTTGACTCTTCCAGAGGAAACATGGCTTGGTCATCAAAAGCATGAAAGCATAACGTTCTGCAAAAATATTATCACCAGTGGTTCTCTTAAAAAAGGTAGCCCAATAACTATATATCTGAATTTGTAGTTATCTATGTAGTATGTACTATTATGTAGTAATTTATTATAAACTTTTCTTTTTTAATTCTATTATTCTTTATTATACTAAAATATAAATAGGTTTATTGTGTTATACCTAGATACTTATGATTTGATTTCATTTTTAGAATCGGGCTGCAAAGAAGGACTACATTGAGCAGGCAGAGCTTACAATTATGGTGCTTTCTAAGAACAGGTACAAATTTCATATTCCCGGAGCAGTCCACCATTCCCGCTTTATGGCAAAAGGTAAGGAGTTGAAGGTTCATGATAAGAAAAAGTTCAAAGTGTAGTAAAATTATAGCTTCATAACAAAAAAAAGGAGTTTATTTTACATTATCAAATATAAGTCTTTTTAAAAAATTAAAAAAAAAAGATTTTTTTTTTATAGGTATCTACTAGCTAAAACTCCAACTTATAATTGATGTTATACCTAGTCTGGAAAAACGACTAAAGCATGAAATTATTAAAGTGGCAACTTTTGTCTTTATTTTCTATTCTACCTGGTTTCTCAAAGTAGAACTATCCGCTACTGCTCCGTGTCAGGTATGAAATGTAAATACTGAAAATGTAAAAATGTAAAAAAATAAAAGTATATATATATATATATATATATATATATATATATATATATATATATATATATATATATATATATATATATATGAGAGCAAATGTAGGAGTACAATCTGATTGGGGTAGAATCAGTCATTGAATCTATTAAACGCCACACATGGTTTCTGGACCCTTACCTTATTTTACTAGCCGTTGCTGATAAAAAATGTAAAGAAAGAGATGATATTGCTCTACAGCTATGAATTTCATACTATACAGCTATGATTTCATAGTATGGATGAATATCTGTTAGCCCGAATAAGTGCTAACATAGAGGTCCTCAATTCTTTAGACTTCAATGGACCGAAGCCTCCCAGCTTTGTTCATTTGGTCACAGAAAAGTTGTGGCTACTGTTTGAAAAGACAGAGAAAAAAAAGACAGAAGAGAAAAGACAGAAGAGAAAAGACAGAAGAGAAAAGACAGAAGAGAAAAGACAGAAGAGAAAAGACAGAAGAGAAAAGATTAAGAAAAAATTAAGCAATTATAAAGAAATTTGTTAAACAAAATTACTAGACGTTTTATGCAATATAACAAGTTTTTTTTTCGTTTCATGCAATTTAATAAAGTTTTATGCAATATAATAAAGTTTATTTTAAAGACCTTTAATACTATATATAGATTTTTTATGTAACATAATTAGGTTTTTTTTTCCAAATGTCTTAACATATCCATATAGATTTGCATTGTGCATAAATCGGTAAAAAAATTGCATAAACAAAATTGGGATTTTGTAGATGGTTTAACATATAATATTTCAGATAAATAAAAATACTATGCATTTTTATTTGTTTTGTCGAACTTAGAAATTACTCTGGAAATAAAGAAAATATAATTATTTTGAGTTTTATAACTCGTTCAAGTGTGCCAAAAATGGGCTTAAAAAAGGATTAAAATGTCAAAAATATGACAATTGAGGCACTTGAGCAACCCCTAAAAATGGTCAAAATTCAAAAAAAAAAAATTTACTAATAAAATAGGGGTCTGCGCAGCAGAAAAGACTCCATGGTACTTTCAATTTTTTCATGACCTCAAAATAAAGCAGTCCAATATATATATATATATATATATATATATATATATATATATATATATATATATATATATATATATATATATATATATATATATATAGTATTAGGTAGAAATATATATATATATATATATATATAGTATTAGGTAGAAATATATATATATATATATATATATATATATATATATATATATATATATATATATATATATATATATATATATATATATATATATATATATATTTCTACCTAATACTAAAAAATATTGAAGTAAGAAATAAGTATAGAATTGGTGGGTGAGAAATAAACTTACCAAGACCGAGTCCGGACAGCTAGTATATATTTATATTACAATACAAATTTAAAATACATAATTAATACGAAACAAAACAGAAAATATTTCCATCATACATACTTGGTAAAGCTTGTCTGTAACTTAGCGTTTCGCTATTACTAACAGCTTCAAAAAGAAAAAGTAACAATACCAGCATCCTGATCTAAAAATTATTTACAAAAAAACTACAGTTCTCACTAAACTATTGCTTAATATTTATGTAATCAAAAAGTATATAAATATATATAAAAATATAAAAGTCTTCATTATCATCTATTTATAAGGTAGACTTCTTTTTTAGATATTTTATAATTTGTTTTAAAAAGCATATACCTTAGGAGCAAGAACTATTGGTACAATAATGGTGCAATGGTTTGTCAATGTCACTCCATTATTGCTTTAACTATTATTAATTGCAATATTGTATATCTTGTTCGTCATTTTGGACAAGATATGCAATATTGTGACAAATATAGTAAACAATATTGTGCCAATATTGGCATACCAATATTGGGAAGAATTACCTTGACGATATTGCTTAAATATTCTTTATTCAATTAGAACGTCAATATTGAAGCCATATTGGCATGCTCATATTGGTCAATATTGATATGCCAAAATTGGTGCATTATGATGCGCCAAATAAGACATGATTTTTTTTAAGTTCAGGATGTTGAATGTTTCATTTAGCCAACAATGTGGTTACAAAAATTACCCATGCTTTATCTGTTTATAGAATAATCAAGTTAAGCATCAATCTTTGATTAACAAAAGATTGACCAGGATGAAGTCTAAATCAATAAAATTGTCTAATGACATTGTTGCAGAGCCAATAGTTAATACAACAAATATAAAGTTGAATTTGACACGTTAGACCAGGTTATCAAGTACTCTTTAAGTTGCTGAAAGAGTAACCAATAGGTATTTATCTGTTTTTAATTGCTTTATTTAGGCAGATGTTCAGAGACGTATTTAAGAGGGGGCTAGGGGGCTTTGGCTCTATGTTTTGACAGGGCGCTAGCTTTCAGAATATTAGAATTTTAGAAAATTGTAAAATAGTCTATTTATATTGTTTCACGAAAATTTTTATATTATTATTAAGCTCAAATCATAGACCTACTTATAAACTTACTAAATATCTCTAGTTTTTTTCAGAATATTTGGTTAGCAGAAGAAAATATCACTCAAAAAGCAATCAAATTAAACTTGCAAATTATACATAATTATGCGCCATTTATTTATCTATTATAAATATTTTACTTATATGGTATGTAGCGATAGCGTAATGGATAAACTCATCACTCTGGCGCCGGAATTCCGAGGTCTACTCCTACGAGTAATCAACTTTTTTTTTTTTAATAAATGATTTATAATTTTTGTTAATTAAATATTTGATCCTTATATATTAATTAGTAAATAATATATTAGAAAAAAATAAATAGTGGGTTTTACCTATTAATTTCATTTTACGCTTAATTAACTTTATTAACGGAAATAGTTAGGTATACCAACAACTATTTACTTTTAAAAAATAAAATAATTCTTCAAAGATTCTCTTTACATTTTCTGAAAAAAAAATTCTTTAAAAATACTTTAAACTTTAAATAAACTTTGTGCTAACATGCTCTAATCAATTTGTTTTTTATTTTATTTTATATAATTTGAAATAATAAGCATAAGAAATTACGCATTAATTATATTAAATTAGCAATTGGACTTTGATCGCCTTCTGAGGGATAGTTTTTTTTGCTTACCATCTTGTATATACCGCGTGTGCACAATATAGTTTAGAATTTTTAAGATTGTTGTCAGTTTCTTTTATTGTTGGCCTAAGTATTTTGATCTTCAGTATGTCGTCTGCTTAATGCCTTTTACTACAGTATACAGTCTTGAAAAAGGTAAACATTTGTATTTCGATTATTGTTTTTAGTTTTAGTATTAACATTATTGTTATTATATATAATTTTTATTCTGACTACTGAGCTTAGTGAGCTTTTTATATAATCTTTAATATTATGCTTATTGCATAATGGTTTAAATTTGTAATAACACACACTTTTTAGGATTCTTAAATTAAAAAGCGATGATGGTTCATAGTAAAAAGCTTAGTGGTGCAGAAAACCAAAAACGAACTCATGCAAAAAATGAAGCTCAAGCGAAAATCTTTTAAAGACTGCAAAGTTAGAAACATATTTTAGCTTTACAAATAAACAGTCTCACGCATCGCCAAGTTTATTTAGCTAGAAAACCATACGTTTTATTCATTTTGCAAATATATTATACATATAGGTACATATTGTTCTGTTATTTATTATTTATACTTTATATTGTTATTTATACTACATGTTGTTATGTTATTTATTATTTAAAGTAAATAATTTATATCTAAAATGTTGATATGTGTAGTAATCGTTATTTATGCTTTCAGTTGAAAATGTAGTAAATAATACAAGCAATCAAAATGATCACAGCTTTATTGTTAATGAGAATAACCTATCAAATCCAGACGATCTAACATCAATATTATCAAGTAAGAGCAGTACTAAAATTAGTAAAACTCTATTGACTACACAATACGAAGAGCTAAATGAAACACCCTGTTTATTCATGCATGAGCATAATAAGCCCAAACGTTTATTGTAAAATCTTTATTTAAAACTTGGTATAATTTATAAATAATATCTTTTGGTACATGCATGTTATATAAAATTTATTATATTTTTATTTATAGAAAAAAAAATAATCACAGATTCACTGTTAATAAAGATAATCTAAAAAATCCAGACAATCTTATATTATTAAATAACATCAGTACAGAAACGAGTAAAACTCTATTGTCTTCAGAATCGGAAGAAATAAATGATACACCACGTTTGCCTATGGTTGAACATAACTATTTTTTAAGTCGCTTGTTATGTAAAAAAATGCTAGAAAATAAATTATTAATAAGTATATTATACTCTGTACATTTTAAACGATACCTTTATCCTCTAGTTATATTAAATTATGAATTTATCTCTTTTATCTAATGCTTGAATGTTTTTTGTAGAACTTTTTTTGTATAATTTGTTATAAACTGTGAATAACATTTTTTGGTTTTCGTATATTAAACTCTTTAAAAGTAATCCTGCCACTTGGATAAAAAATCAATAAACGATAGATTATTTATCAATCAATGGATTTAACCAAAATTTGGAGAACAATAATTTTCAAAAGTCAAAAAAAAATTTACACTCAAATATTTAGTGGGGTAGACGTACTCGATATTTTTCAAAAAGTATTTTTGTATCTACTCTTGTTAATGGTGAAAAAATTAACTGAATATTTTTGATTTACTCAGAAATTCAAGGATTAATATTTTGTCCTCCCTGCTATTTATTTGGTGGCACTACGTTTGCCACAGTTTGTTTTTAAGATTGAAAAAAAGAAAAGAAAAAATCAAGCATTATGAAGATTCACAACACCACATATTGTGTTTAATGAATATGAAAGAAAGAAAAGAAGTGTCAAATCAAGTTGATCAAAAGCTATCAAGTAGAAATAAATTATTGGAAAAATGTATTGACAAGAGCTGTAGTAGTTGTGAAACCCCTTTTTCTCGTGGAATACCTTTTAGAGGTGATGATAACTGTTTTGGATCTGTTTATAATGGGAACTTCATGATGAACTTATTGCTCAGTTTGATCCTTTTTTAGCACAACACATTAAGAAGTTTGGAAACAAAGGAAAAAATTTAACATCGTACCTATATTTTAATATATATGAGCAGTTCATAAGTAAAATGGCAGATAATGTTATTTAACAAATGGTTAAAGAAATAAAGGATGCTAAATAGTTTTCCATCAGTATTGGTTCTACTCCTGATTTTAGTCATATACATCGATCGTCATTCATTTTTCGGTATGTTCAAAAGAATGGCTGTCCGGTAGAAAGATTTTTAGGGTTTTTACCCAATTCTGGTCATAAATCTGAAGAATTAGCAGATGCTGTATTTTTAGTTTTAGAATTGCATGGATTAGATATTAATAATTGTCGTGTTCAAAGATACGACAATATGTCTAATATGTCTGTTAGATACACAGAACTTCAAACTCGCATTAAAAAAAATAATCTTTTAGCAACATTTGTACCAAGCTCGGCACACTCTTTAAATCTTGTTGGTGAAAGCGCTGTGGACTATTGTATTTATGCTTCTAAATTTTTTATTCTGCTTCAAAATATTTATAAGTTTTTCAGTACCTCTACTTATAGATGGGAAATACTTCAGAAGAATTTGATTAAAACAGAAAATCTTAAAAACAGAAAATGTATGTAAATCTCTTAAAAAACTATCAGCTACGAGGTGGTCAGCAAGATCTGATGCAAGTATTAGTTTAAATAAAAGTTGGATTGAAATAATTAATGGAGTGTCTTTTATCAAAGATGATAAAACAGAAAAATCTATTACAAGATCGGAATTTAACGGGCTATATTTTAAATTGGTCTTGAAACAGCTATAATAGTTATATTATGGGGCGATATACTAGAGAGATTCAACAAAACTAGTAAAAAATTGCAGTAAGTTGAAATTGATTTAGAAACAGTTGTAAGTTTATACGAATCTTTAATTCGATAGGTATTAGATTTAAGGAGTCTTGAAACTAGTCTTGAAACAGCTATAATAGTCAAATTATGGGGCGATATACTAGAAAGATTCAACAAAACTAGTAAACAATTGCAGTCAGTTGTAATTGATTTAGAAACAGTTGTAAGTTTATACGAATCTTTAATTCGATATTAATTAGATTTAAGGAGTATGTTTGATATCTATAAAGAGAGAGCAATTAATAAGTCGGGACACAATACATATCATAAAATACGCAAAAGAAAAAGAAAACTAACTACAGATGAAAAAAGAGAAGAAGAAACAAATTTTAAAATTCGACACTGTTTAAGACTTAATACATATGCATATAACTGATAAACTTCAATCTGAACTAGAAAGAAGAAAATTGTACTATGATGGACCAATAAAAAAATTTAACTTTTTATTTCAAATAATAAAACTTTGGCCATCAGATGTTTACAAAAAAGCAGAATTATTTCAAAATAGAAAAATGATCTTTCGTCTTTATTTGCTAACGAGTGTATACAATTCAGAAGTTATTTCATGAGTTTAACTGA